GAAGAGGACGAAGATGATGAGACTGATTCTGAGGATGAAGATGAATATGAGGAAGAAGAGACCTATACCACAAATTCTGTAAAAAAAAAAAAACCTCTGGTGAAGAATCAACCTAAAAAGAAGGTCATAACTTGGGATGTCTATGAAGGTGATATGAAAGAGATTAAGAAAGTATTAGAATATCTTGTTACAGTAGTAAAAAATCCATCTCGTGAAAATACTTCTTTGAATGAGCAAGATCCCATTGAAAATGCTTCTAACAATCAACCAGATATCGAAAATGTTAGTGAGCCTATGGTATTTAATATTCTTCGGAAACCAGCTAGCGATGTAGTGACTATAAAGTGCCGAATCAATAAATTAAGTATCCCTAGTGTTGTCCTTGATAGCGGTGCAAATTGTTCTATAATGTCATTACATATTGCTAAAAAATTGGGACTTGATATAGATACAACTAGAGCTACTTCTATAGAAGGTGTTGCTACTGAATCAGATACTATTGGGTGGGTATACAATATTCCCGTAAGTGTTGGCTTCTTTACTTTATTGAATGATTTTATCATTGTTGATGATAATAAACCTGCACTACTTCTTGGTACACCTTGGCTTGATAGAGCTCAGGCAATGATAGATTTCCAGAGTCGAATTCTTTATATAAGAAACTCTAATGATTTGCTTTTCAATGTGCCTATCTCTGTTCATAAGTCAAAAGATAAAAAAAAATAGTAAATAGATGTGTAAGCCAGAAATCTTTGGTAGATCGAAAATGTTTGGAATGTGGGAAGATTTTCATATACCCCTCAGCATTAAAGCGCCACTTGAATGGAAAAAAAGTATCTTGTGGAAAAGATAAAATGGTGCCTATTCATCTTATTATGGATGAGTAAAAATTATGAATTAGATATATATTTTTTAAGTAAATATAAAAATCAAAATCATAATGGATTATATAGCTACTGCTAACGTTGGAAATGAAACTGTAGAATGCATAATTTCAGCATCATATAACTACTCTGTAATTTCTATAGATCTTCTTAAGAAGTTAAATTTGGAATATAAAAAATCAAAAGATAAAAGTATTTATATGGGTGGTGACGAGAATATACATCCTTTAGGTGTTGCTATTATTCCAATTCAGTTCAAGGATAAAAAACACAATGTTACAATTGATTCTGAAATATATGTTTGCGGTAATAAAAATATTTCAAAAAATACTATTCTTCTTGGTTATGATTGGCTTGTGGGAGGCTCTGTGATGGATGAAGGTCTTCAGATATATTCGATTAAATTAGTTCATGAATTTGAATGGGGTGGAGGAGTAGAAACATATCTTTCTATTAGAGGCATTGGATCACATTCTGATGGAAAACTTTACAAAAAATTAAAAACCTATTCTGATGATTCAGATGATGATTATTCTGAGTCCGAGTCTTAAACAATTTACTCTTGCTGGCATTCATTACATAGTTCCTCACCTAATACTATTGGCATCAAACATTCTTTGCATAAAGAATTGTTGCTTTCAGATAATCGTTCCCCATGATGCTCAATTATCCTTTCATATGTAAT